GTCGCCAGCAACGGCATAGGCTGCAGTGAGGCTGCAGTGGGCTACCATAAGCTATCATGAGTGGCTGGCAGCCAGCGTGAGTGGCCGGCAGCCGCCGTGAACTGCTGTGGGCTGCCGTGAGCGGCCGTCCAGTGGCCGGCGACCGATCTGCCTCACCCGAGAAGAGCGCAATGATAATACCAACATGGGCCAGTGAAGCGACATCCTCCACAACTAGACTGAAGAACAAAAAGGACAGCAATTTGTCTGTTCCCCTTCCCCGATTCCCCAATGCTGTTCCCTCCCCCAATTCCCCAATAAAATCTTTAAAAAACAAACCAACAAAAACCCACAAACCTCTCCTGTGCCAGTGCTTCCTGTATCAGGGAGTATACCACCATGTACTCAGAAATCTGGGGGTTCCTCCTCTGTCCTCCTGCTCTATATGCAATTAAACCTCAAGCTCTACTGATTCTACCAACTATCTCTGAAGTCCAAGAAGCTCTTTCTGTACCCCCTGCCACTACACAAGTCAAACTAACAGCTTATTAACTGGTACCCAATCATTCTCTTTCTAATCCATTCTCCAGAATCATGACACATACAGATGTGCAATAAATATCAGATGGAGGCTGATGCAATGACCTTGCCAACATGATTTTTTTAAAGGTGTAAATCTAATTTGCTACTCTCCAGACTTAAACCTTTCACTGGCTTCCCATCGCTCTGTTGAAAATCCTTAACCTCCACAGTCTAGACTCTGCCTTTCACTCAGGTAGCAGCACTCTGTGGCAGTCTTCCCCCTCCATCTCTAAGCATTTACGTTTAGTGCATCATGCTTCTTGAATCTGGGCTTTTAACCAAAGAGGTCTGACTGAGATGCTCTTTCACCACCTAATTCCTACTCTTGTTATGAATTTCACTTTAAATGATACTTTCTCTTAACTACTTTCCCTTCCTCTCAATCCACTATCTCATTCTAAAGTATCCTGTATTTCCCCCTCTGTGACACTGAACACACTAAATCAGCGGTTCTCAACCTGTGGGTCACGACCCCTTTGGGGGTCGAACGACCCTTTCACAGGGGTCGCCTAAGACCATTGGAAAACACATATTTTTGATGGTCTTAGGAACCGAGACACTGCTCCTCTATCCGTCTCCATGCTTCAAGACAAAATTTCATTTATTTGTAATTAGAAATAAATATTTCACAATATATAATTACATATTGTTTTTGTGATTAATCACTATGCTTTAATTATGTTAAATTTGTAACAATGAAAATACATCCTGCATATCAGATATTTACATTATGATTCATAACAGTAGCAAAATTACAGTTATAGAGTAGCAACGAATATAATTTTATAGTTGGGGGTCACCACAACATGAGGAACTGTATTAAAGGGTCGCGGCATTAGGAAGGTTGAGACCCACTGCACTAAATATATATCATCTTTCCCATTAGATTGTAAGGCGTATAAAAGTTGAGGCTGTTCCTCTCTTGTTCCTGGCTTCATGATCAAGCACAATATTTGGCATACAGGAGGTACCCAAATTTCACCTTTCAACTGAGATTAGTGAACCAGTTTCTCACTTCTGTTTGACTTTACTCAGACCATTCAAGTCCTTTGAAGGCCAAAACAAAATAAGTTGCTTTTGTCAATGTTTATTTACTTTTATTTTTTATGCCTACATGTCAATTCCACTTTAGAATGCACTAAAAATAGCATTCATCTTCCAGTTTAAAATTAAGAATGTTTTATGGTTCTTTAAATCAGATCTATGACAGTACACTTTAAAGAGTTATCTTAAGTCTTTAAAAGCATTACCCTAAACACACAATGGTCCTAACGATTGTCCCTTGACCAGTATTTGCTGATCTAAATCAAGAAGCTCTGAAACTACAGCCTGACAATGAATTAATAAGCCTGCCAGGTAATTCTGACACACACTGAAGTTTAAGAACTACTGCCCTTTGTTGTAACAATTCAAGTAATTACAAGTTATAATAAAATTTTGGATTCTTCTGGTTACAGAACAATAGCAAAGGAGTACAATCTACTAGGTTACTTTATATCAACAAGGTTACCTTTATATCAATAAGAAAGCCCTCAAACGGTCGATAAGGATTGTGGACAATAAGGTGAAAATTAAGTTGCTGTATAAGCAGCAGTTCATATTCCAAAATCTGTTCAAGTGCCTTCTCCTGTCCAAGAGGACTCTCCCGTAGATTTCCAACAAATTGTGGACTAGATACATTGAATTCATCTACTTTGCAGGCCAAAAATGCACAAGTGAGCCTAAATGAAAATATGGAGTATATAAGGGATCTTAAGTTCAGAAGAGAATGCAAGTCTAAATTACCCTTTACAAGGAAGTCATTTTCACTCACACACACACACACACACACACACACACACACACACACACAGAGGGAGATGTGTATATGTGTGTATATATATATATTCATATATACACACTTTGAAAAATATCTAAATATTTTATTTCTAAAAGTACATTCTAAAATTGCCTAAAATATTCACAAGTGACTATGATGTCATAAAGAGAGACACAGTTTCCTGTTCAAACTTTTTATCCATTAGACTACAAAATTAGGTGCAACCATACAATATTGCCACAGCATTCAACCATTATTGACTTAGGGTACTTTCACAGAGTTCAACCTATCTAGAAAAACAAAATAACTGAGGAATAAGAGTACTTTGTACCATGAAATATAGATGGAAGAGAAAAAAAATACAACAGCACATATATAAGTACCCTATGAGCATGGGAGGAAAGGTAGCTTAAAGGAACGTTGTAGAAAGCCCTCGATGGAAGTCTCCAAGGGCATTCAAATAGGAGATTATTACCTTAGGAATAAACCTATCAAACTCTCATGGCTACTACATAAATTTCAGAGTGAGAAACAAGTAATAAAACTATCACAAAAATCAAGACTGAAAGTTAGCAAGGGACTGCCCTAGACTGGTAGAAATGAGAATGAAAAGGAGAAAAAATAAACAGGGACAATGTGATTGACAGCAAGCTCTTTGATGAATCTCATGCTAATTTCAATTCTGTCTTTAACAGTAGGCATCGTGTTCAGCAGAGAGCAGAAACACAACACCTCTGTTCAACTGAAATGAATATGGCGCTATAGGACTTGTAAACTGACTGGATGTAGAAGGAGAGGAGTTGCCACTGATGGTTCTCACTCGGAACAAATGGGAGAAGGTACCACTAACAGACAGTGGTATTAGGGAATCTAGCTTGAGAAAACAGACTTTGAATTTGGACAAGTTAAAGTTCAGATGCCATCAGTATTACAGGAAGGGAAGCATTGTAAATATATAAGCAGTATAATAAAGGATCTTAAGTTCAGAATAGAATGCAAGTCTAAATTGCCCTTTACTAGGAAGTCATTTTCTCTCTCTCTCTCTCTCTCTCTCTCTCTCACACACACACTCTCACACACACACACACACACACACACACATAGTATAAAAGTCTCTTTAAATGAAAATCTATAAATTAGACAGACTTATACTTACATTATTATCCGGGGGTGATATTCCATTACTGAGTTGTTAAGATAAAAACGCTTGAAATACATACAAGCTGTACCCTAAGATTAAAAATACATATATTATCAGAATCTATTCAGAAATATATTACATATTAAATTGTTATAAAGACTTATCAAAAGTTTCTTTGAAAAAGTTATCCATACAAAATACCAAAACTTGTTAATTCTTCTTTAATCAAAATAAATTGTGCTAAATTACTAGAGAAACACCACAGCCATAAGACCGTTTGCTATCCTTCCCCACCCACCCTGGGTTATCCTTCCTATGGTTATTGGCTTATTTAAAAAATGTTGCATGTGTTTATTTTAGAATTCACAGTTACAAAAGTGGCCCAAGTTAGAAAAATTTGAGGAAAATACAAATATTTAAAGCTTAACCAATCAATCTGGTAAAACTATTGAGAGTATAACACAGTTGGGGCTATAAGCTTTCTCTCTAAATCTACTGCAGATCTGTGATATTAACCATGATCACTGCTGCCAAACCAAACCATAGAAGCAGCACCTACTGTTTACTGACTGCCATGTGCCAAGCTCTGTGCCAAGCACAAAACTATCATTTTAATCCTTACAATAGCTTGATGGAGCATTGCTATCTCCCCTTCACAGAGAAGGGAACTGAGTATCAATGAGGTTAACTGACTTGTTCAAGGTCACACATCTAATAAGGGACAGAGCTAGATTAAACTAAGATCTGCCTGTATGTTTATCTACGTCATCTGGCTAGAACCAATGGAATAAACATTTATCTATTTTATGATATAAAAAAGACTATTTCCTTTTAAATATTTTGTCATTTTATGTGAAACAAAAAAAATTCATCAATTTATAAATAAGCATGTTGTATAGAAACAAATCCCACAAAGAAGTTCATTCAAGGATTCAGTTTCTTTATCTTAAAAAAAAATCACTTAAACCTACGACCATACGTTATACTTCTTTTATCAGAAAAGAACAGAACTAAATCTGGAAATAGGAAATAATGAAGTGTATTTAAAACTTTTCCAGAATCGTTAATCTCTCAGATACAGGTCTGGTAAACTAAGAAGACATTATGAATACTTTCGGACTTGATATTTTCAATAAACTTCAATTTTTTCGACTATAACAATGGAGACTATTTCCTAAAGCGTTATTCCCTATTGCATCCTAAGTTATTCAGTTGTATAATTTTAAAACTTAAGATAGACTTTCAATTAAGAGACTTTCATATTTGATCTTCACAACAAACCTGTGAGATAGTAGGGAAATATTTTATACCCCTCCCTCTTTTTTCTTTACCTTTCAGCTTGTTAATCTCAGCCTACCTTCTATAAACAATATACACAATAGGAACAATTACAGGGCCAGTGTATGTAAATTCATACAGCCAAGAAATTCTAACTACCTGTTTCTTCTCACCATTGCTCCCCCACAATAAACACACACACATACACAAATGGGGTCCTCAGAACCATGTATCTGAATCAACCACAAGACAATGTTTTACCCAAAGAAAACCTCCAGCTTCTACTAATCAGGTTTAAAAATTCCTTAGGGAACGAGTTTCAGCTGGGGCACATGATTACAAATGGTTAATTAATGCATTATTTCAAACATGTGATAAGAGTTAAAAAAGCACTAATCAATGTTCTGGTTCCAGTTCTGCTCATTAGTTGAGAAGTTGGAGGAAAAGTAATTTTTCCCTTTTCTATAAAATGAGGATGTTATGACTTGTCTAACAGACCTCAAAATTCTTTTGACTATGAAATGAGACTTGAAACACTCTGTAAAATATGTTACAGGAATTCATAATTAACGCAGTAATTGAAAAATATGTAATGTGACAAAAACTTAAATACATAAATTATATATTTATATAACTAAGGTGCATTTTTTAATAAAGTGGATAGAGAATTGAGTTACTAACTTGGAAGAGGTCAGATTTCAGAAGTCAGTTAAAGGACATTATACCTCCTCACCACCATAACTTACCACAACAGACCTTGGCATTGCTGGTTTAAACACTGAACAAAATTCCAACAATCTTTTCTCATAGTATTTGCAGAGTGTCATTTCTTCATGAGGCTCAAGAAAGACTGGATCATTTGGAAGAACCTTTCAATCAAAAGTTACAACAAAAGTTCAGTAAAACTTAAAATATTTTTCTCTGTCCAGATTAGTTTCTATCTCCAGCCAAAGGGAAATATACCACATCTCATTTTCACTTTGTAGAACTGCTCATTACACAAAATAGCTTGAGAAAAATATTTAATAACCTAAAACTATACCATAATTTCCCAATTTCTCAGAATGTCAATTGGACATTTGCTTCATTAAGGTATAAGCAATCATGATGGAATGTGTGCATATGCTCAGAGGATTGATATCATTGTTTAGAAATCAAAAAGAAGATACACACTGTTAATAGTTGGAAAGTTTTCAAGATTTCTTTCTCACTCAGTTATTAAGTCACGCAGGTTGAGGTAAAAATAAAAATCAACAAGTACTTCAAGGATAATTCTGACCCTGAAAACATTATCTCTTCATTCACCTTTGTAAATGCTACAGAATACACTCTAGATGGTTAATAAATACAATTTTACAAAAAATATCCATTAGGTGCTGTTACTGGTTTAATTACAACTACCAAAATAAAAGATATACTGAAATCCTAACACCCCCCCCCACCCCCAGTACGGGCATACCTTGGAAATATTGTGAGTTCAGTACCAGACTGCCACAATAAAGCAAACAGTCATCATTTTGCTGGTGGAGGGTTTGCCTTTAACTTGTAAAAAAACAAACCAAAAAAACCCACACGCACACCTGTGAAGCACGATAAAGCCATGCTCAGCAAAACGAGGTATGTCTGCACCTCAGAATGTGATCTTATTTTGAAACATGGTCTCCGTAGATGTAATTAGATGAACTAGGGTAGAGTTGGTTCCTAATCCAATATGACTAGTATCCTTATAAGAAGAACGTGTGAAGATACAGGGACGCAGGAAGAACACTGTAAAGATGGAGGTAGAGATTGGAGTTATGCTGCCACAATTGAAGGAACACCTGGGGTTCCTAGACGCTGTAAGAGGAAAGGAAGGATCCTCCCCTACAAGCTTCAGAGAGCAACTACTTGCCAACACCTTGATCTCAGACTTCTAGCCTCCAGAACCGTGAAACAATAAATTTCTGTTGTTTTAAACCACACAGTTTGTGGTAACATTTTTATGGCAGCGCTAGGAAACTGGCACAGGTGCTAATTTTATAGAGACAACATGGCATTGTGGTTTAGAGCAGGAATGCTGGAACCAGATTCCTTGGGTTCAAATCTTGTCTCTGCCACTTACCAGCAATGTAGCCTTGAGAAGTTACTTCTCTCTGTACCTCAGTTTCCCTCCGCTGGGAAGTGAGGATAATAACAGTATTTACCTCTGCAGCTGTGAACGTTAAAAGATCTAACACTTGCCAAATGCTTAGAATCATGCCCGGCATGCAGCACAGTATGTACTACTTTGAGCATCACAAAAATAAAGCGGTATGAGATAGCGGCGACTTAAGGTAAAAAGTACCTCAGTCCCAACAGTCTTAGACATGGAATACTTGCTGGAGGAAAACTTGTTCTAGAATGGGTTGCTGGAGCTTGTGAGAAAAAGGTGGCTGGGAGCTATACCAGGAAGAACTTGGCTGGCAGGCCATCATCCAAACCATCTTCAGTCAGCTGGTTTGGGCAAACGGTCTCCTGTCTCCCTGCCTCCACCCTGCCCCATCCAATCCATTCATCACCAGGATGCCGGGGGGGGGGGGGGGGGGGGGGGCTCTTTCTAGAACAGCATCTGAAAAGTTAATTTCCCGTTTAAAATCTTTCAAAGGTTCCCCATCCCTGCATCAGAAAGTTCAAATTCCTTACTTTCGCTTACAAGCGCCCCGCCTACCTCTTCCAGACTGTCTTGCACAGGTGCTCAGCTTCCACGAACCCGCCCTACAACCTGGGGCCTCCCACGGTGCACCTGTGGCTCTGTCCTCCTGGAATGTCCTTTCCCCATCTGCTTCGCAGCAGCTACTGGGAAAAGCCCTCCCCGACATCTCCGTCTGACAAGTCAATGGCTCTCGTTCCGCACTACAGTGACATCCTACAGCGTCTCCAACGCCATGTTACTGGTTTCTGGCCTGCCACTCAACTATGGAAATAGCGTTGTCCGCCTCTGTACCCAGAGCACCTGGCAAGGTGTTCGCCCGTTTATTAAATAAATGAATGTACGCCGCGGGGGGAGAAGAGGGGAGGAAAAGGTGTGCAGAGAGCCCCGGGGGCGGGGGCGGTGGGTCCCGCAGTTGTTCAAGAGTTCAGAGGTCAGGGAAGCCGGGCGGCCACCAATGTCCTCACCTTCCCGTTCGCCACCGCTTTGCATTTGAATTTGCGGTTGGCGTCAGCCCGCAATCGTGCCAGCTGCTCCTCACTGGCGAAAGTCCAGTGCCGCTTCTGGCTACTGTTGTGGTACATCCTTAAGTCCGAGACCAGGCCCAGCAAGTCNACAGGATGTTTTTATAAAAGTAACTCCTTTTCTATACTCCAGCAACAGCAATCTTTCCATGTAAGAATATTCTGTACTCACCACTAATTAGTACTGAAAGTGCAGCTGTTAAATAAGAAATACATGCTTTAAGATAATATAACTGAAGTTCCCAGAATAGTTGGCTATTCTCATTTACATTAATCCCTCTCTTTGTCCTTTTCCACTTGAGGTCCCTAAGAGATTCCACTGGGTCTGAAGCTGACCTAAGAAATACAGGCTCCCAGGTAAACGCTTCCCAGGCAGTCCTGGTGATTCAGATCTAAGGCCACATTTAGGAACCAAAGCACCACCTCATTTTGATTTGAAATTCCTTCTACTTAAAAGTTTACTTTTGGGAAGAAGTAAATAAAAATGAATCTTGGTCTGAGTACACAATTATTTTTAGAACATGCCTAAGAAATACGTAAGCTCCCATATTTCTCAATAATTCTTCTTCTTTAAGATGAGCCCTAAATCCTCAGATTTACATTAGATATCCACATTCAGGTCCCAAAGCAGTAAGAAATCTTTTCTAGACTCAAACAAAATATCAGATACAATTGTAGGTCTTGTCATTATCCCCAAATGACCTCTGATAAGACAAATTCAGACATTCCACTCTAACCACAGTGCTCCTTATCCCAATACATTTGCTCAATTACTTCACAGCTGTTCTTCGACTTCCTGCTTAGAACTTTGGACTCCTTAGAACTTCCCCCTTAGAACTCCTGATCCCTCTGCTTGCTCCCACTCACTGGTGTCCTCTGGTCCTCAGTTCCCTCCTGAATTTCCTGCCCCAATATGAGGCCAACACATTTCTGGCAAAACTTCAACAGTAGGCGAGTTCAACAAACCTGCATTGCAACTATACCCAGCTTTCTGGGTCTGCTAGAGAAAACAATACAACGAAGAGGTCTGGTATTATTATTATTATAAATTTGGGTTCACTGATCTCAGCAGAGCTCTCACCACTGCCTCACTATGATAATGCTCCACAGACAATCTGTTCTCCTATGTTTCAATGACTATGTTAAACATTTTCCATCTGTCTTTGTGTCATTAATAATTCTCAGAAACTCCGTCACTCTCAGAAAATGATCTCTGCTCTTAAGACACCTTCTTTCCCGCCACTGCTAAATCCTGAGACATAACACTACCGTCACCCCTGCCTTCCTCTTTCCTGCATTAAAAGAGCTATTATTCTAAGGTCAATCCTTCTACCTTGCTTTGAAACCCACGACAGCCCCTTCTACCTTACTCCAAAGAGAAACTTGAGCTACATATTTCCCACTTTCCCCTTTAAGTTTTCTCTCACTATTAGCTCCCTAGTTTCTTCCACACAACACAACAAAAAAGGTCCCTTTTCTCTATTTCTAGCAGGTCCCCCATCTTCTGAATCATCCCGTCTTTTTAATTCACTTCAAAGACAAGTTGTCTAATCCAAGTTATATATACTTGTTTTCTCACCTTCTATTTATTCTCCAACTGGCTCCAACCTGCCTTCTTCCTCAACACTCCACAGAAACTAATTTCACCAAGATCACAAATGACCTTTCTGGCACTACATCCAGCAAACATCTGTCTGAATTCTGAGCAGGATTGGGGAGTTGCCCATGCTCATCTTCTAAAACTATCCTACATTCCCTTCACTTCTCTAGAAAGTGCTACCTTTCTGGACTTCTTCAGTCTTCTTATTAGCTTCTTATATTTCTCTACCTACCCTTTAATGGTCCTTATGGCCAATCCACTTTAAATTTTCCTGGGGCAATGATGCCCAAATCTATACCTCCAGCCTAGCCATCTTCTATGACCTCCAGACACAAATGTCTACCCACCTGCATGTGTTGCAGGCAATGGAAATCCATCATGTTCCAAACCAAATTCATCAACCCACCACCTCACCAGTATCAACAAATCTCTCCTGGGCCAGCCGAGTGGCGCATTGGTTAAGAGTTGGCTTGGGAGCATCAGCTCTGAGCAGCAGGACCCCGGTTCGGATCCCACATGGGCCAGTGACGCTGCCCTCTACAGCTAAGATGGTGAACAACAGCTCGACCTGGAGCTGGGCTGCCGTGGGTCGCCAGCAACGGCATAGGCTGCAGTGAGGCTGCAGTGGGCTACCATAAGCTATCATGAGTGGCTGGCAGCCAGCGTGAGTGGCCGGCAGCC